TAAATTCATATGCTACCAAAATTCCTTACTAGCTGGGTGTGGTGGCCCCTGCCTATAATCCCAGCAACTGGGGAAGCTAAGGCAGGAGGATCATAGTTCAAGACTAGTCTGGACAACTTAATGAGACCCTATCTCAAGGGGGAAAAAAAAAAGACTAGAGATGGAGTTCAGTGATAAAAGTGCCCCCGAGTTCAATCACCAATACTGAAAAAGAAAAAAACTCTAATGTCTTTAAATTTATCCATCACTCTATCACCTACACATTATTATCCAAAGTACATGTATAAAGACACGAATTGGTGTGAATATACTTTCTATACAACCAGAGATATGAAAATTTGTGCTCTATATGTGTAATAGGAATTGTAATGTCATATATAAATAAAAAATTAATTTAAAAAAACTCTGCTTAGTAATAAAACACATGAGAAAGCTATAAAGAATACCAAAAACTGCATCTTGTGGTCATCTCTGGGTGCAAAAAAAGATGAAATCAGGAAGACACACCAGAAGTAACCTATTTATTCACCTGCATGGTGAGTCCTCCAATATTTATATTCTTACCTAAATTTAGAATGAAACTCATCATTCCACTCTCAGGTTCCAAACAAGAAAATCACCATACTGCACTTACATTAAAAAGGAAAATTCTTAAATGGTGAAGTAAACTGCTATTTTTTTGGAAGGACAATTATATGAAGGAAACAAAAGAAAGCAATAGGTTTCACAGGTCAAACACACTCTTATATTTATAGACCACTCTCACTGTGCAGTTGCAGCCCAGGGGGGCTTCCTCCCACAATGTGCGGAAACCTGAGTAGCCAGGAAATGGAATTTTGGAATCTCCCCACACTATACTTGCCCCTCCTCTCAGCATAAAAAAATCTCCCTCCTCCACAGGTTCGATTCTGACAAGTGACCAAACTATCACCCAAAGCAATTGGAAAATTCCAACCTGTTGTGTTTTATCGACATCATTTCTGACTCCAAAGGTGTACTGTTTGCTCAACACCAACCAATTCTCCAAGAAAGTGTCCCACAATTTAATTCTGATACCACCCAGATTTAGCACAGTCCTGACAAATTCAGGGTTCAGTCTGACCACTGTCTCCACTGCAGATGCCAGTTCAAAGCAGGTGTTTGCTCTGTCTGGTCACCAATTCCCATCAGAAGTTAAAGAAAGGTAACACCTTGAGTTTCCTCATTAGCATAAATTCAGACACTGCCTGAAAGAGGCTTATGATAACTAATCAAAGAGATTCCTACTGTTTAGGAATTCCAAGGGTTAAGCTTGCCAGAAGCTGGGATGAAGACCATTTGTTGTTGTTGTTGTTGTT